TTACATGCCATTCGGAACAGGTCCTCGTATCTGTGTTGGCCAACATTTAGTTATGACGGAACTTAAGGTGCTTCTTGCTTCTGCCGTCTGGGGAATATTTTCATCATCTGGCACAAACCAAAAGTTTAACAAGAATCTCAACAAGTAATATCTCCATAATCACATTAAACTACAGGAAACCAAAACAACAAAATATACGAGGAGTAAAAACAAAATTTCAGAAGAAAGTTACTATGTACTACTTTATCTTTTGTTCTATCTGGTATCACGAGTAAACCAAGTGGATTGAGTGTGGACCCTTGTTTAACCAAATTCTTTATGACTTCTTGTCGACTTTTCAAGAACTTGAACAAACGAACCTAAGGAGAAATTCATACAACTAGAATTACATCTTTTAGGAAAATGTGTTGGGAAACATATGATGTATTCCTATCGCTCCAAGACAGATGCATAAGCACTTTTGTGCAGAGACACAGAAATCCAAAAGGTCTTATTTTATGACCACACAGATTTTATTGATGGGATACAACGAAAGATACAAGCAGGGGTTCTTCATCTAAAAATGTGCAGAACCTCTAACCTACCAGTTGCTAAAGACATCAAAAAAGTCAAAGGAACAGCAAAATAACAATATAACATTTGAAAACTACATAATAGAAAGCTTAACTAATCTTTTCCTTCCAATCAAAATGAATAAGGAAGAATGGTATATACCAAAAATCAGATGAAATCGAAAACCCACAATGATGCCTATTAACAGCCTCTACTCTGTCATATAAAAAGGTCATGTTGATGATAGAAAATAATTAGCCAGCCCCCCCGAATGTCCTTATCCATGTGGCAGTGATAATATCATAAGCAACAAACATTAAAAAAGCAGTAAAGTCGATTATGTCACATCAAAATAATAAACAGAGCAAATGGGGGAAAACTGAGATATGCACACAAGGATATCATTGTGTAAGAATGATGTAAATATAAAGTACAATATTTGCTGCTTATACCATTATTTAAGAGAGATAAACTAAGAAAACACCATGAACATACTGACCTCCAAGGAAAGACTCAACACTTTGATATAGTACAGATGATGCCCCTACAGCAAGATCCCCATCATGACTTGCAATCTCACTCTTATGTGTGCTCTCGAGCAATTCAAACTTATCTGATTTCAACACACACTCAAGAATGATAAATTCCTCATTTGTTGGGTAAAACTCCCTAAAGACCTGTATCAATTGTGCATAAA